AAACCTCTCATAGGGCACTCATGACACGGGATTTCTTATGATCTATTTGTCCAATGTTTTATGTGAGAACACTTGTTTGTTAATGCTGCATTTTCCTGTGGTCTCTGGCCTGGCAGACAATCTTGAAATGTGGGATATGGCTCCAGATGCAGGGGACAGCGTTGTCAAGCCCTTGTCTAGACCAGAACCACACCAGACCGCTGCCATACCAGTTCTGAAGAATCAAATGGTGACCCAGAACAGGGCCCTACAAAGCCTTTGCCACCAGAATCCACAAGCAAAATCTGGACCTTGGCACCCCCAAACTTCCAACATCGACCAACACATAACAGGTAGCAAAGGGTTTTAGGGAGAAAAATTGAAGAGCGAGCCTGGGTTTAAGTCTATGCATTTTAAAGGAGGGGCAACATTCTACTTGAAGAAGTTGGATGGAATCATGCAGAGGACTAGCAGTGTGAGAAAATAGGAGATACCTGGTTTGAGAACCAGAACTTGTCCTTTGGGGTCCTGACTTGAGGTATGACCCTTTTTAGTCCTCGAAAGTAGGAAGCTTAAGCATGACTGCATTAAGAGCTTTTCCTATGAAAAGTAGGCCCGCCCATCATGATTATTGTTACAGTCTGGTCTCGAAGTAACAGATTAGATCTGTCCTAACAATTTTCATTCTTGGGCTTTCAGTTTAAAGTAGGATCATTAACTCATACAATTCAGAAATTACTGGCTCTGAGTTTATTTTAAAATTATGGCAACTGTATCTAAATGACTTTTTCTTCCATAGGAAACTGTGATTCCTATAGGAAGAACCAGGACACGAAGAAAAGGAAATTGGATCCATCTTAACAGAGGCTCAGGTCACATCATTGGATTCAGTCACAGAGGGACTTTAGAAAACATTTGGTCATGAAATTGTTCATCATTCCTAGGGAATGAGCTTGATTTCCAAGGATTTACCTTGCTTCATTCTGAACTTTTCTAGATTTGACTACTGGAACCTACTACAGATAAAGCTAAATAGTTGGAAAACAAGCATTTAAAAAATATTGTCACATACTGCATCAGGAGGCTTTGGGGAGATTAAATACCTTTTTTTTGGGCTCTTGAGGCTCTTTATTATTTATTCTTAAGCTATTATGTTAATAAATATAGAACTCTTAGGAATCACCAGTGGCTACCTGCCCTCAAGCAATAAGCCATTATTACCAAGTACTGATTTTTAACAACTATCTATCTACATTAAATTATTGTAATCTGCCTTCTTTTGCTTTAGGACACCATGTTTTAATGCTGCCCATGAGTACTGTGCATCATGCTAAGAACAAAACCTACAGTGCTGTTTTATTACTGCATCAATCCAGGCTGTAATCTTCATTTATGACAATCTCTCGTTTATAGGTTTATAATGTCAGTATCCTGCATTTTTTTTAATCAAGGAAGCAATGATCTCAGGCCAAAGAAAAGGCATTTCAAGAGCGCAAAAATAAATCCTTTATAACACAATAGAAGATATAAGCTGTATTTTCTGTTTCCCCATTTCACATGTGAGACAGGCTACCTTAACATAAAATGTTTTTTCATCATGTCTAGATGTTTCATAATTCTTTCCCCCAAATAATGAGTTTGCAAATTTACTTTTCAGGGGTATTTCAAGCTGTGCCTTTTATCTAATCTTGAAGGGGCTTTTATTATTTTTTGGATCACAGTCCCATTTGTAGGAAGCTGGGAACCTTGAGGCAAGGAACTCGAACAGGAAAGCAGTCAACCATCTCCACTCCTTGAGAAGAGGAAGAGGCAGCTACCCAGACTTCCCTTTTACCTATCTCACCTATTGCACAGATTTAGCCATACATTCACCTTTTGATTTTGATATCCTTACTTTCTTCAGAATAAATACTTTCCTTGTCTAAAGCATAATCTTAGTTCAGGTCAGAGTTGCTGCTAAAAAACGGAGTTAGCTAGGAATTCAGTTATAGAATGCACACAAAACAGGTAATACGATCATGAAAAAGGAATTGGCTGGAAATGAAACCCCAGAATTCAACAAAAGCAAGTTTCGTTTATTTGAATGGTTTCATTAAATAAGTCTACAAAGGTAACAAACTGAAGCACAAAGCGCAATCTTACAAGAAGCGCAACACCCAGAGTTAGTGCAAAATGTACAATTAACGGCTGCTGAGAAACCCCCAAGGTTTGAATTCAGTTTGTTTTTTTTTTTTTTTTTAAACAGTGTACATTGTTAAATAATGTAAGGAAAACATTTATAATTCGGAAAGATTTTTTTAATGTGGAAAAAGATACTCAAAGTGTACTATTAACATAAAAATAATTTAAATAGTTCAGTAGCACTAGTTCATTCCTCTAGGCTTCAGTTATTTCATCCACAGGAGGGAAAAAAATCAACAGTAAATAAAACCAGGTTTTTTTTTTTTTTTTTTATGTAAAGAGATCTCAAAATTATTAAGCCAAAATAACAAAATAATGCGCTGCATTTGGTTCCCTCATTCCTCTATAGTAGGAAGTATTGTTTCATTTGTCTCAGGTGGTCCATTTTTCATTTACTTGGCACCATCTTTGTTCTGTCCTTACTCTTACCATCTCCCCAAGAATTATAAGCAGAGAACAAATAATAATTTTGAAGCAGGGCTTGCAACCCCAGCCCTTTTCATTTCTACCTTCCTAAGACCTTCAGTTTTCTTTTATATCTCTGACGACTAGGCTAACTTAATAAAACAGGGCCTGTGAAGGAACAACAGGATAGGATAGCCAACCAGGCCCTTCCTACTGTGGTGATTCCAGGGATGTGCCATTGAGATGGGTAAGAGGTTGGGAATATGTCAATTTCCCAGCACAAGAGTCAAGAAGCACCCCAAAATTTAAGAGTCCCAGCTTCTTTCCCCATCTTCAGAAATAACAAAGATCCCAAACAAAGCCAATTAAGAGAGTATTTCCTGAAAGCTCTGAAAAAAATAGAACTGCCCATTACAACTAGGCACAGCACTAAATAATACTGGTTGGTTGCAGTTATTAAGGGGAATATTTGTTTATATGAAATGTGAGACTATCAGTTATAATTGTAGAAATAAAAGTGGCACAATAGGTTATGATCCTGCAACCATTTGGATATCACATAGGAAATGAGTGGGTCCACTTTCTACAAAAATACAGTACCCCAAAATGAGAAATACATTTGAAACAAGAGGAAAGCAATCCAAGTTTTCTTTAGAGCAGCTTTCTCTATCTGTGACTTTTCACTATCAGGTTTCCCAACTTCAAAACCAGCCCCCACCCCTTTCCCCTTTATATTCAGCCATTTCTTCTAGGTCTGTTCAAGCCCAGCTCAAATGAGTAAGGCTTATGGATGGCATCCATTGGCCAGGTACCACATATCTTCAAAATAAGTTTGTTCTTCCATTCTTTAATCTTTTTCATTCACTTATCACACACCACCCTTCATCTTTTAAATTTTGTTATAACACCCCTCCTCACTATTTCTGAAACAGAACTTTCTGCTTTCAACCACTGATGTCAACTTAACTTCTCACCCTGCTCATCTTACACCTGCTCTAGACAAAATTGTTGAATGACTTAAAAAAAATACTCTCAATTTCCCTTTGGCATAATCCACTGATGGGGTCACGTGGACCTTAGATTTCTTTCCATACACTCTTTGCTGATCTGGGGTCTGATGAGAAGTTGATGCTAATGGCAGAAGCAATAGAAGTCCAAGGCACTAAAATATCCAGCAAGCAATACTGGGACAACAGAAGTATTCAAGTACAGTAATTTATACAATTTTACATTCACATTTATTTATCTAATACAATGGAAATACAAAGGAAAAAGTTAAAGTGTCTCAATAAGTAAAGGACAGAGCTAGCTTTTTTTCAACTTTTTAAACCTTTCATATTTTCATCTTAAAACTACTGTTGTCCAACAACATTTATATATCACAGTGTTTCCACATCAAAACTGATGGCGAAGTAACATGTCCGCAGGGAACTTTTTTTCCTAATTGCTAATGCTGCTAATATCATTTGCTTAAAGCGCTAATGACCTATTATAAGAAAAGGTTGAAACCTCAGTCCCCTGGTGTTTTTCACTGGGTTCTAAAGAGAAAAAAAGAGAAAAAAAAGTGGGGATGGGTGGGGGAACAGGGTAGGAGACAGCCCAAAACTTTTTGTCTTGGGGTTTAGATTTGAGCGAATAAGGGACTGGGGTGGGTACCAAGATTAAGAGCTCCACCCACTGAAAGTACAGATGGGGTTTGGTTTTCCTTTGAGCGTTCTAGTAGCTTTCTGATAAAACACCATACTCTTTCCTAGCCCTCACTGTTGGGTATAGGTAAACAGGAAAGCATAGTTTGAAGCTGCCCCATCACAAGAAAGCTGCTCATTACTTCTTGTCCCACTCCAATAATGGTGAAGGGGAGAAAGACTCTCCATTCTGAGGGCTCTAAGCAGTATTAAACATTCTTTTCTGGCAAGAAATAACCAGTTAAATGCAGCACTAGTAGTTAGTTAGTATATAGGCTACTTCCCCATCCCCCCTCCCACCCTCCCCTTAGCACTCCATCTCCTGCCCCCAAATCTATTCAGTTAATGTCTCTAGGTCTGACTAAGTGGTCCGCAGGTTGGAACCTGGGGGGTTGCTGATGGATTTCTGCAAATTGCTGATGTTGAAATTCTGTAAGGAGGTGGTTCCCACAGGTTGGAACTGGCCAAGTGGCTGTGGTGCTGGGCCACCTGTCCCACTCCACTGAGTGCCAAAGGGGGTAGGTGGAAAACCATACTGCTGTGGGGGGCACATAGACTTGGTGAAGTGACCTAGAGAGGTAGCTGATGCTGCAGAGATGGGGGCAGAGCCACCCAGATTTGAGGTCATGGAGATGCACAGCTGACCAGGTGCAGAGAACTTCCTTGCCATTCCAGGGCCCTGAAAACAAAACAATTAATTGTAAAGTGTGGTATGGGTGGCACTAAAATAAAATTCTAGAACCAGGACTGTTCTTACAAAACCTTTCATAATAATTATTGCCTCTTAACACGCATGAAACGAGGGAGAGAATAATCATTCCGACTGGAAGTGGGCAGTGTTTGTGTGTGTGTGTGTGTGTGTGTGTGTGTGTGTGCGCGCGCGCACGTGCGTTTACACATTAACATTTCTTTTGCACTGAGTCTCAAGAAATTACTTTACTGAGAGTACAAGAAGTGGATTAGACCAGAAAAGCTGGATTTATTCCACTGATACAAAATTT